GCACAAGCTGACGAGTTCGGCAATTGTTTGTGGGTCCTTGGCTAACAACATTTGAAATGCGTCATCGCATATGCCCTCGAGGATTTTTTTATTTGGTCGGCTTCGAGCACCGCTGGGTTCACCTGCTTGCACAAGTCAACAACGTCTTCAATGTAGCTGGTAAAGGTCTCTCCTGGCTATTGAGCGCGCTCATGAAGTCGTTGTTCTGCGCGGAGTTTTCGCACAGTAGGGCGGTCGAAGACTTGCGAAAAGGAGGCCTTGAATGAATCCCAGCTGGCAATGTCGGCTTCGTGATTGCGCAACCAGAGACTAGCGACGCCAGACAAGTAAAAGCTTACATAGGTCAGCTTAGCCGCATCGTCCCACTTGTTCACTGCGCTCACCTTGTGGTACTCCTCAACTCATAGTCCAGCCACTCCTCAACGTCTTGGCCGTCAGTGCCGCTGAAGATCGGTGGGTGACGCAGTGGCCACACACCGGGACATGTAGAGGCGGGAACTTGCGAGGTACCTTGAATTGAGGGTTCTTCCGGCATTGCTGGCACTGCAGGTAAGGTGCGACTTCGTAGTTCCAGCTTCGAAGACTACCCAGCACTTCCACCAAAATATAAGAGGGTTTATTGAATAAAACCAACCGCCTGGTTCAAGAGGCGTCAGTCACTGTCACGAACTCAGCTCTTCGTCGTAGTCGTCCTTCAGGTGCTCCAACTAGATACTGTCCCTCTCCCACTTCCCCACTACAATAAATATATATATATATATATATATATATAATATATATATATATATATATATATATATATATATATATATATATATATATATAATTATTAACGATTAACAGAATTTGAGCAGAATAAATACCAAGCCATCATGACCACGAAAATTCATAAACTCAAAAGAGACCAAGTGCCCAAACCCGCGTTCCCTGATATAGTTCCTTATCATTACAACACCACCACCCAGGAAATCACTAATGGTACAAACGAGCACCCATCTAGAAACACACCCTGTGACACTGTGGTTGTGAACTTATCGGACACGAGCTTGTCACCTGACGAAGAAAAACTGCTATCTAAGAGACTAAGCTTCTGCCCGACGACAAAATTTTTCGATGAATTCCACTTGCTCCGAGACCTCGACAACTTCGCTCGAAGCTTAAGGTTGCGCGAATATTTCTTGGACAGGCCTTCTAACCACGAAACAATTCACCGTCGTAAGTAGAATGATTGGACACTGAACAGTAATCGAGACAAATGCTTGTATCTTTGTAACACCGCAGTACAGAAAGATATAGTACACGAATACCACAGACAAAAAGGAAACCGAGAAAACTTGACCAAATCTGAAAAATTAAGTATGAAAAATTTGGCATCTAGGACAGACATAACAATAAAACCCGCTGACAAAGGAGGAGCAATTGTAGTCCTTAATACAACCAACTACTTACAAGAGGCATACCGCCAACTAGACGACTCAAGATTTTACGAACGCCTCCCAGGTGATCCGACAGACGAATACAAACGTATCGTATCAACAGAACTAAAGAAACTGTCGGATGCATAAAGATAACCAACACTGACCACAAACTGATGCAAGCAGCATACCCTCGTCTAGGTCGCTTCTACATCCTCCCAAAAATTCATAAACCCGGTAACCCAGGTCGACCAATCATATCAGGCATCGGTACAATAACTGAACCCATATCAGGGTACGTGGACAAACTAATAAGCCACATTCCATGCACCCTGGCGTCGTACATAAAAGACACCACACATTTTCTTCGAGACATTGCGGGTATCTGTGTGCCAAAAAACTCGTACTTGGTTACTCTTGATGTCTCTTCATTATATACAAATATTCCTCACGATGACGACATAGCTGCATTACAAAACATGTACACAAACCATAGACAATCTAACACCACAGATTTCTCTGCCATTGCATCTTTGACGAGGTTGGTCCTCGAATTAAATTCATTCGAGTTTAACCAAGAGTATTTTCGACAAATCAGCGGGACCGCTATGAGCACCAAAATGGCACCTAATTATGCCAACATATTTATGGGAAAACTAAAATCTGAATTTCTTGCACAAAGTTTCTTGAAACCAATGTTATACAGAAGATACATAGACGACATCTTTCTTATTTGGACCCACAGCGAGGACGAACTTCTCAGCTTTATCGACACTTACAATGCTGTACATCCGAACATACACTTCACACACACATACTCGCAAATTACCGTAAATTTTCTTGATGTTACCTTAACGATAGAAGAAGAGAAGCTCTCTACAACCCTATATCGCAAACCAACGGATCGACAACAATACGTCCATTACCAAAGCGATCATCCACGCCACTGTAAAAACAGTATTCCATACAGCCAGGCTCACCGATTTAAGCGAATCTGCTCTAGAGACACTGACTTTGACACGAGCTCACAGAGGCTAAAACTTATGCTTGAGAAACAAAAATACCCCCCACATGTAATTAATGACGCTGTTCAAAAAGTGAGAAAACTAAAGCGTGAAGACTTACTTATGAAGCGACCACCACGAGAAGACCCGCAACGAACAAACCTCTGCTTGACTTACAGCACAAACTTCCCCAATGTAAACAAAATCCTTAAACGACATTACAACATTCTGGAACAAAGTGAACGTCTGAAACGGGCATTCCCATCCGCTCCAGGCGTCGTTTACCGACGACCACGTAACCTCAAAGACACCCTTGTCCACTCCCAAATTAACACATCACCCCCCAATACTTCATGCCGCCCTTGCTTAAAGCCACGATGTCTTGTATGTAAGGCGATGCGAGAAACAGACAAAGCAACCAGCACGCAATCCAAGTTTTCGATTAACATACGAGGAAACCTAACATGCGATTCCTCTAATGTGGTGTACCTACTCGAATGCAACCTGTGTGGTATGCAGTACATCGGACAAACAGAAACACCATTTAGGATTCGCTTCAATAATCACAGAGCCCATGCGAAATCAGCCCCAAGTCTACCTCTATCAAAACATCTCAATCTCCCCGACCATGCATTCGACAAACTATCAGTAACGCTCTTAGAGACAGGATTTAAATCAAATCGAGAACGTGAACAACGAGAGTCATACCTTATCCACCGATTTAACACCCACGATAGAGAAATAAATGAGAATCCTGGTACACTTGCAGCAATTAAAGCATTAGAAAACAATAACGGCAACAATGAAAATAGTAACTGAGTTCACGGCACTGCAGCTGCGAAGGGCACTGGACAACCCAAAACAATTCCAAGTGTAACTACTCTTCCTAAGTGCAGCTGTCGTCTGTTTTCTGTTTTATTTTACTACCCAATCAATTGTGCCATGCACGACATGCCCAACAGCAACCCTGTGCACAGCCGGGAGGCCCCCACTACACGCGTAATTCAGAAGCGGGCAAGGAATTCGCATTGCACCCGCTTGCACAGCCTACCGCAATACGGGGCACCCCTATTTTTACGACGAAATGTTTACAGGGCGGGGAGTAGTTAAAGGTTTAGAACTTCCTAAAATGCCCGCTTACCAGCCTCTGCCACAATACGCGGCACCCCTCCTTCTACGACGAGTTGTTTACGGGACCACGAGTAGTTAAAGGCTGAGGACTTCCTGAAAAGCTCTTTTTTGCCCCACACCGAACCGCCAGTGCCAGGAGGGGCCGTCTGATCGGGAGGAATGCATTAGTGAACGGAAACATACAAAGACCGCTGACATCAGAAAGGTAAAGAAGAGAGGGGGGGAGAGAGATGAAGGGGGAAGTGGAAGGAAGAGTGGAAGGGGGGCACTCGAGGGGCGTCCACCTATTATTATTTTTCTCTTCTTTTCTTTTTTTGTTCTTTTTCTTTCCTTTTTCTTTTTTTTCTTTTTTTTCTTTTTTTCTGTCTTGTTTTCCTCTGTCCTTACCCTCTGATTTGAGATTGTATAAAGCTGAGCACCAACAAACAGTATCTTTAATCCTGATGAAGGCCAGACTCTAGGCCGAAACGTCGAAATAAACCACATTGTGACCACTCACGGAGGATCCACTTTTCTTTCTTCTTATTTACATTCCATTGATCTTAATAACTTCCCCTGTACATTCCTTGGCATTACTGTCTGTTATATCTCATTAATATTGTGTTAAAAAACGCGGAAAAACGAGCCCTTAGGTATACACTTCTTTCCCTTATTTCATCGAACAAGGGTCTCGTACTGGCAGACTTGGTGTGTTTAGGTTGTATAAGAGGGACAATTAATCAGCTGCCCGCTCATAATAAGTTCACGTGCTACGTGACGCCAAACATGCGCATAAGAGTGTTTTCACACTCGTTGTTTGGCTTATAGATGGCGCTGACTGTCGCTCCTACTTCTAAATTCACAGATAAACCCGAAAAAGTGGATGGAGGGAGGGCCGCTGTGATAGCTCAGTGGTTAGAGCATCGAACGCGTAATTCGAAGGTCGTAGGTTCGATTCCTGCTCACAGTTGGTAATTTTTTCATCCACTTTTCTTTCTTCTTATTTACATTCCATTGATCTTAATAACTTCCCCTGTACATTCCTTGGCATTACTGTCTGTTATATCTTATATATATATATATATATATATATATATATATATATATATATATATATATATATATATATATATATTGAATTCGTTGCACTCTAGCATTGTATAACGCTGTTGCACCTTGATTTTTGATTTTTGTAATCTTTTATATATGTATATATTTTTTCGTCTGCTTTTCTCCTTTATTGTTATTTCGTTTGTATACTGATGCCCCCCTTACTCAATGCCCTTCAGTGGGCCTGTAAGGTATTTTGAATAAATAAATAAATAAATAAATATATGACGGTGGCGAGAAGAACCGCTTGCAAAGCGGTCTTGCGTATTACATGCACACAGCGAAGGTGCTTCTTTTTTTGTGCTTCCAGAACTCGATTCTTAATTCAGTCTTGCCAGAGATAGTGCGTAATGCCACTGACCGGCTTCAAAACCTCAGTGATGAAGAATGTCTGTAGGCCTGCGAGTCTCAGTGCCTCTTCCCGAGAACCTCCGTCTCCAGGTCCCACGGCGAACTCTCCGTTAAGGAAGCTCAGCGTGCGCTCCGAGATGTGGACCCGCCTGCGGATGTTAGGAGAAAAGCGTACCTTTAGGCACTGACCTGACGCACTTTTCAATCATTCATTCATTCATTCATTCTTTCATTCATTCATTCATTCACATCTACTTGTTTTCCTAATAATTAAGAGTGCCTGCAGTGAAAGGGGCAAAGCGTATGAGCCAATGCCGAACGGCAATGAACCTTTACTAATTTGTTATCGGCCGCTGTTAGACGATTGTATTTGGGGATAGATTTCGAGGATGTTCTTGATGAAATTCAGCGAGAAGGGGTTGAAGGACATAGGTAAAGATAACCCCTATCAAGGCAAATGGAGGATCTTGGCTGGGCACGCGTGCATGCTCCCCATACATGATGCCCGATATCTTAAGGAATTGATGAACGTCATTTCGACAAGGTACCTGACTCAAAAAATGCTTTTTTAACACTGAAGTATTTTACGCCGTGGTCCACCAAGGCTTCGCTGATATATACTTGTCAGGAATATGAATTTTTAAGGTATACGCTAAGAGATTGCGAATGAAAAACTTGCCCCATATCAGCATGTTTCACTAAAATGTCTTCAAAAAACGGTGGTTTTCTGTCTGGAGAGAGTGAACGCAACGTTCATTTAATATTTTGTGCGAGAAACATGGCGAATGGGATTTTTGAGGCGCTGAGTGGGAGATCAGTGCCATCTGGCAGTATTCCTAGAAAACGAAAGGATGGCCCTCAATATTATCGCAAAGAGATAGGTACGCAGGTACAAAATAGGGCGTTTACTTTCGTAACCCAAGGGCCAGAAACGCGAACACCAGAGCAGGCGCACACAGAACTACTTCGTTGTCCTCCTCAGAGGCTGGCTATAGTTGCCAGCCTACCTTGCGTCAATATAGCGAGCGCGTGGCTTCCACGTGCCATCTCGGAGGCCATAATTTAGGGAATGCTCGTCCACGGGCCGGTGGCAGCACCTAGAAATGTATACAAAACACCTACCTTTTTTGCATAGCGTTGCAGGGTCAGTGCAGCGTAATAAATGCTAGCTTCTTAGAATTACTCACGTACCGCTTTTCTTTTATTTTAAAGAAATACTCCAGAAAATAATCATGTGTTAATATTGTGCTTTAGACAAGCGCAATATTCGCTTTTAATTAACAGTGCGCACTAATATGATCGCAGAGACCAGATCAAAGTTAGTGGGCGTTGAGGAACTGATCGAATTCTAGCCTTCAAGTTGAATGTTTTGGTTGACAAATAGGTCAAATAACAGAAAGAGAGACAGACAGACAGACAGACAGACAGACAGACAGACCAAAACTTTTTGCGTTGAAGTATCCCAAGAAAGACTATCGCCTTTGAAAAACGAGAAAAATAAACTGCCGTCGCGTCGCACCAGTGACCTCTTGACCCGCAGTGAGCGGCGCTAACGACTAAGCCATGGAGCGAACGTTATCAAAACTGCCAACAGCTAGCCATTGATGCATCATACACTATTTGGTGGTCCTCAGAGCTCCGCAACTGCCGTGAATTCTCGTCATCAGTAGCGAGATGGTGCGACGAGATGGCACGACCAGTCAGTCGCCTTGCATTTCTGTGAGCGCAGCTATCACGGAGTAAGGTCGTCTGCGCACGCTTTTCTTAAACTCGCGATTCGAAAAGGCACGAAGGTCAGCTCTGCTGCTGTTACGGCCGCGCTTACAAAAGAACCACGCTGCTCACGAAAGAAAAAGTCAGAATTGTGACAGTTGTTCGCGCTTGCGCATTCGCTTCGTGGGTCTTACTTTCTGTTTAAACTGGGCTCTTAAAATGTCAAGCTGCGACAGCTGCCAGTCTGCGCTCGTCTTGTGTCTGCTCATTTCGTACGTGTTTTCTGCTTGAGGCGTGGGATGGAATTTCTAAAGTGCTTGAAGTTCTTCACGTGACTTTGGGATTTGTTGCTGTAGCATTTATTCTTTCACGAGAGGCCAGGCAAAGCTGGTGTGCTTCGCATGGGCTCCGTATTCTACGAAGTTTTCTTGATCCAAGACTGCTTTTTTGGTGCCAACAGTGGTCTCTTTTGAACTTCAACCAGTTGCCGACGCTGCTGGTGAGTGCCTAAAACCTCTTCGTTCTTGAGGAGCTTTGCGAACTTCAACTTTTCTGAACGGGGGAACGCCGCCTCGTTAGCCCTAACACCACCGGCACCGGCGTCGGGCTCGCACTTTGACGCGCGTGCACGAGTTCATTCGCCAACGCAATGACATACAAGGTGAGTGGCACAGACATACCTGCCACAGAATTCAACCCAGAAGAGTGGAGTGTAGTACTGAATGCCCGACAACGCCCACCTATACAGCAGTCAGAAAGAAACTGAAGGAACGCAGTCAAGTGAAGCGGCGTCAGCTGAAGAAACGCCAGCACGCAAAACGAAATCAGCACCCAGCGTTTCCTCAAAGCTCGACGACACAGTTGTGGCGCGTCCTCGCTTACAACGACTGCCATGGTTGCCAGTCGATGACTTCAAGATCGTCTTTCGTCAGAGTAAGGGCGTAGATCTGGCCAAGTACAACGATGGAGAGTTACGGGCGGCTGTAGTCGCCAACAGCGGACTGCACTCTGTGGTTGCCGACAAAGATCTTGTGTGCACCTATCTGGCCAAGAATATTTTCACCATGTGTACTTGCACCGACCAAGTTGCCAACTATGCAAAAATACGATAACTCACGCTACGTGGCAAAAAACTGGGATTTCATGCGTACATAGCTCCCCCGGACGTTGCACAGGCAGGGATAATCTGCCGCGCTTGGAATGGTGAATCCCCTCAGAACATACTTGAAGAATTACGTCAGGTGAATCTCCTTCTACCAATATACCGAGCAAGGGACGTGGGGCGTAGCTCACGCTCAGTGCTCATTCATTTCATGGCTGAGGAGCTTCCTTCGTCAGTGAAAATGTTTGGCATCCTCTACGCCATTTTCAATTTTTGACCGAAGGTGGAAGCGTGCCTAAAGTGCAGACAATCGGCCACCGACGAGATGTATGTCCTTTGCCAAATCGCCTCACTTGCTCAAGCTGTGGACAGAAACACCCGGAGGACTATCCCTGCACTCCACAGTGGGTCATCTGTGGGGACGTTCAAAAGATAGGCGACAGGGCATGCAAGCAACGCTTTCAGCGTGGCTTCAGCCGTCTCTCTCGGCCACGACAAAGGCCGCAACCAGAGCACCAGCAGGAGCAGCCCAAGTTCCAGCTCGTGAAGGAGTTTTTCCTAAGCATCGACGATGCTACTTGTAGCAGCAGAAGCAAGAGTCTTGGACGGAACCGTAGCAGCAAAAGCAAAAGCCCTGGACGAAGTGCATCACAATGCCGCGACTTTGGCACCAAACCCGAAAAGGAGAGCTGGGCAGAACAAGCCTCCTGCTCCTGTTGTATGCTCTCTCACGCTAACGAAAATTCTAAAACTCAGGAGACTATCGAACATCTAATGCAAGAGAATCAAGAGTTAAAGCAACAGTTGGCTCTGATGATGGAACGTTTAAGTACACTTACAGCTGCCCCACATGCGTCTTCTCCACCCCTATCCATTACCTCTCTATCATAGAGCCTGATATGGCAGCCGAGTCAAGGACCGATAGTATAGATTCCTCCCCACAGCCAGCAAGAAATAAAAGGACAAAGCAGCCCGAGTCATTAGAGGATGATTTAAATGCACCAGTCAAAAATTTGGAAAGAACACCGGGAACTCAAACGAAAGGTTGATTTAGAGCTTACGCAAATTGCTGAACGCCTCACTAAGATAGTGTTCCAGACGTGTTAGTTGCTCGGATCGAATATCTCCCACAAACTCAACCCTCTCCAGCACCCTCGCAGCCATAACCCACTCCTGCACCCTTGCTTCATCCTCACCCTCTACACTCTGCATACGGCTATGGAATTGCGTTGTATTAAGAAGCAAGAGAAACAACATCTAACTTTATATACATCGGTCTATATGGGCCCCCGATGTTATCTCCGTACAAGAGCTTTGAAAAGCTTGCAAACTCTTCGGCTATCAGGGTGTACATTCGCATCCTAGCTCCCCATGGGCTACCACATATATACGCAGGAATATCTTGTTTAAAGCGCATGATCTCCCCGATCTTTATACTGACTGCCTTCTTCTTGAACTGCTCTCGCCTCGTAACTGTATTAGCCGGGACAATGCACATATTTTATTTTGCATATTTATTGTCATCCTAGAGGTGGCCGCACTGCTATTTTTGAAGCAATCGATAGGGCCATTCAAATAGCAAACTCCACTCTCATAGTTGTAACGGGTGACATTATTGCTCCGCACGTAGATTGGGTTACAGGAGAAACACACGGAAGGGAACCAGCCTTTTTCAATACATTCGTCGAAATAGGTTCACTCTATTCACTGACTGCATGTTACCAACACGAATTGGCAACAGTGTGAGCTGAGATACCACCCCAAAGCTTACTTTCACTAAAAACGTGCGACAAGCTAACCGCACACACAGTAGGGTCAACCTCGGCAGTGATCATTACATCCTAACAAATACACTGTCCCATGCCAATTTACGTCCACAGTTTCAATTAAAACCTATTCTTCACTGGGACAAATTTCGCGAAATCCGAGACGGAAACCAAAAAAACAGAAATTCAAGACTACAAAGACTGGGCGTCTCAGCTTCAACAGGATGTAGCTCTTAGCGAAAAAGTAATCTCAGCAGTACATATGCGCGATGCAGTAGACAGCAGGCTACTCCACCTATGGGAGACCTATCAGAGCTTGGAGAAACGATGGCTCAAGGAAAAATATAATTGCAATCTAAAACGCGAAATGGCACAAACACTTCAGCATGTAACTGAACACGCGGCCGAGCTTTCATCGCAGTAATGGAACCAGATATGTAACCGACTCAATGGCACTCTACATATGAAGAACTCTTGGTCCCTGCTTCGTCATATGTTAGACCCCTGCTCTTTGCGATCTGAAAGTAGTAAGCGAATCATGAAACTCTTGTTTGAAGTAGAAAAACGAGGGCAAGACGTTAAAACTGCTCTTAAAACTTCGCATTTCTCTGGCCCAAGGCGAAAATCGGTACCTACCTACAATGGAGCTCCCAATCCAGACTTGGGTGCACTGATCGCAGAGGCGGAAGTTTGAGCTGCACTAAGCAAACTTCGCACCACATCCACTCTAGGACTAGATGAAATTACGGTCAAGACACTCCGAAATTCAGACTACAAGTCAGTGGCCGCTCTTACCGATTACTTGAACCAAGAATGGGAGCAGGGCACGCTGCCTCAGCAGTGGAAATCAGCCAAGGTGACTTACATACCCAAACATAACAAGCTGTAGCGGTGAGAGGAGAGACGTGAGACGGCGTCGAAGGCGGCCGACGGGGCCGTGCTGATCTCGCCACTTTATTCCACGCCTGAAGAGGAGCCGCGGTGGCTGTCCACGTCCGACGCGCCAGGTGCGTGAGCTCGTTCCAATCCTCGCGCCGCTCGAGCTAGCACCAGCTGCACGAGAGGCGCGGCGCGGTGATTTAGAAATGATGATGGTGATGATGGCACTACAGGGCTCCCCCCTAGCGCTTTGCGCGATTTGAAGGCATATGAAAAAGAAAGAGGGCGACAAATGCTATATACATGAACGGCAATCCATAAAGTGTTCATTTGGCAAGTCCAGGTTGTCAACGTTTATGGGCCATCAGTAGGCGGTGTGTCTCCGGTGGGCGACACTGGGAGAAGTGCAAGGGACGATGAAGGAAGTGCCGGGTCGCTGTGTTCATAGACACGTCCATCCCACAATTACGCGGCGGGACCATTCGGATGCGCACCCGCCGTTTCGAGTAGACGCGGCTGACAAACGTGCCCACAGCTGGAACTGTGGACAGGCGCTGAAGAGCTCGCGCCGGCAATGTGGGCGAAATAGTGTGAAGGATCGGAACGCACCCATGATGACCGAACACTGAAGTTTCACGGCCACAGCGGGGTCTCGGACAGCGCACAGGGTGCC